TAAATAAATTTGACCTGGTTTGCAAAGTCGGTATTGCATGATGCTTGTCAAACTGTATATGACACTTCGTGTAATTTTACAGTGGGGTAGCAACAACGCACAACTTACTTTTTGTCAAAGAATTGTTTAAGAAAAAAGAGAGTTTGATTTGTAGAATGTTATATAATTGATGACAGAAAAAGAAGAGTTAACGCTTCTCGGTCGTTTCAACTAAGTGACGTGACTTTAAAAGGACGTAGCGATGTTGCACCTGGCCAATGGACATATACAAATTTAAAATTTCACCAGCAGGCGCGTAGCCAGAATGGAAGTGAAGTGTACGCAGAAAACGGCAGGGCGTCTTGGGGCCGCCTTGAACCCCCCCCACCCACCCAGTGGGTCTATGACGAAACCCTGGTGGGGGCCCGGGGGCGGGGGCGAAGCTCCTGAGTTTCACCATATATTTCATTCATTTTTTTTTTTTTTTTTTTTGCAAAATAAAAATTATGCCATTTCGCCTTTTAGAAAATATAAGACATTGTAACATTGTTTTTAAAATGACGCAAAGTTAATAAATGTACTTCCACGGAAACTTATTGTACGGGCAGTTGAGGCTAAAAAATTTACCGATATTTTGGTATCATATACTCCTTTTTAAAGTTCAACAACAAGTATAATAAATGTTAGTCATTAATGAAGAATGTCGTATTTAAATCATATACGAGTAGATCATAGCATTCAACGATGTGTTTGAATTTTGATTTCTCCAAGATCTTTTTAAAAAAAATATCCGTGTCTTATAGAACAATTACAAACTAATCAATGGTTTATTTGGATTTGTCAGTGATTTAATAAAAGATTTCAAATTTGATTATACAGACATGAAAATATAAAATTTGATTCGAAACAGTACGACACAAAACAATCTAAAACACAAAAATTTGTTCGATGGTACTGACATTTTTTTCTCTCAGAATAACCACCTCTCTCTCTCTTCTAAATTAAAACAACAAATTATTTTTTGAAAATGATGTGTGCGCACTTGCGTATAGGCAGTTACGCGTCTGACCAGGATTAGTCTAATGATCTTAGTAACTCGAAATAAGCACATTTGTTTTAATATGTTCTTGATACAATGTTGAGGAATTTTCAATAATTTATCCGTTTTCGTTCTGGAGTAAAATATTTGTTTCAATAATTTCAGAACACCCCTCGAATTTATATACATTTTTTGTTCTCTATTTTTTTTTCTTTGTATTGAAGTATTGCTTTACCCCTATCAGTTTAATATGGAATAAAGATTAATATTACTATTATCTATTTAAGAAGCTTGTTCTCCATAATGAGGGCTTTCATAGAGAAACTTTTGACAGGTAATGAAAGCGTGGTCGCTACTTAAAATTAACGTAAGAAGTGATCAATTGGTCGAGAGACAGGGCCACTTGATGCAAGAAGTGAATCTAGCTCCTAAAAAAATCTACAATCTCGTCAAAGCAAATACGTTTTGAAATTAAAAGTATAAGCCAAAAAAAAAAAAAAAAAAAAAAAAAGAGCACATCATCCCATGCAGGTGAACAAATCAGAGTTATCTCTCTTTTCATAATGAACAAATCTGTAACTGAAACCAAATAAAACTGAAATACTTTTTCTTTCCCAAAAGCACACTCCTATTAAAGACAAACATGAGTGAAAATATAACCTTTCAAATATAATGGGTTAAATGCGCGGAAAGTACAGCGACACTACAACACCATGCATGTTCAATTAAATCGCATCGCCAATACAATGGTTGGCGGCCATTTCCGACCCGCTTTGTAAATTCTACCGTAAACAACAATCAAATACATACATGTATAAACTAATAATACACTATGGTTCAGGTTGGGTGGAGACAGCAATTCAAAAGTTAACGTGAATTGAACCAAACCTTTTTTTTTTTTAATTTTAATTTACAAATACGCTGTCTCCAAAATGAAATAAATTCACAATTTTTTTTTACTGAAGCTCCTAACGTTTCTCAGAACAAATGTTGCCAAAGAGCTATTTCTCCTTCGTCTACATTTCTTATCCTCAGAATTGGCATGGTTAAAGATCATGTCCACTTTTTCCTAGGCAACGTATGGGTCCATATAATTACAGTTTTGGGGTAACAGATACTTTAGCAATAATACACTTCATGTGGTTTTGAGTGTGTGTGTGCCTACACGTAAAATATGTACATATCAGTACCTACATGTAAAATATGTACATGTTCATCATATGTAACTGAACAAATTTGCTGATCTATTAAGTCATTGATACTTTCGCTAAATGGATAAGATATACTGGTTACTTTCCTTTACCTCCCTTTTTCTTCGGGGTTATTACGTAGATTTGTGATTGGTAGCACTTAATATACGGTCTAAAACAAGTTCTCTTTACGTTATTTCTCAACTCTGCACTTAGTTCTGAAGCGGACTTTTTGCTTTTGTATTCTATAATTTTCCTACATGAACAGCCTTGACATTGTAATGAAACCTTTTTCTTCAACCTTTTGCTAATAAATGTACATGTTTGTCTGGATAACAATAAGCAGTATATAAGTAAAATGTTAACTGTTGAAGAGGTTTTACGCATGTCCCAAAATACCGATCTTGTAGACTAGCCTTCCCCTCTAAAATCTGTAACCATGGAAACAAAAGGGACGAATTTTATTTTAAATGGAATTTTATATCTCCAATTGTATTTCAAACTACTTGACTTGTACATAAATATGTTCAAATATCTAAAATATGTGCCGTTGCCATGGAACTTAAAATGGGTCAATTTTTAAAAATTCGAAATTTGCGAAAATTTAAGAAAGTATTTGCTCCCTCCTTTCAAATCCAATATTTTACCGCTGGGGTCGAGTGGACATACTTATGCTACGGCTTGCAAAATAAATGTTTCTTCTTCTTTTTTTGTGTGTGTGGCTTTTTTCCCCTTTGAAGAACTACTCGATTCGAATACTCACAAAATGGCATGTTGAACCCATCATTCTTTGTAAAACTTATCGACCTATAGATAAAATACTGGAACGTACAGGGCAACGAAATTAAATCTAGAGGTGAGCTGATATAAGTTTTAAAATTCGTGAACAAACAGGTACCGCTGCGCCAAGAGAGGTGTTGAAACTTACGATTTTTTGAGTGACTAATTTTTACAATTTCAATTTTCAAAGTAAAATTTATGGTTGAGACGCAATGATTCGAACAACATATTTTATGATTTCATATAAATTTAAACCATTCTTGAGTCACATAAATTCATATTTCCATTTAAAAAATCAGTTGACTTTCATAAACTTTAAACCAAAATATATGATATTTTAGCAACTGACAAAATAGGGGAAATCCTACTCTGAGAAAGAAAGAGGGGGAAAATTGGCTCTAGTGTGAGATTTCCCCTAGGAAAAATCTATATAGACTTCAGATTCCTTGAGAAAGCTGGCTAATGGAGAAATCCTACTCTACAAGACGGCCAAAAGCATAAATTACATGAATTGTTGACGAAGGCTTTATTGTGGGATCCGAAATTCCTCCAAATATTATTCCTTTGAAATCTGAGTTACTTTGTGGCACATCCAACACTATGTTTCTGCTTTCAAAGACTACTAACAGAATTTTGTAATCACGACTAATATACAAGGAAAAAGTAGACAAGATATGAAACTCCTTTGGTGAACTTTTATGTAGTGCGAAATATGATATGAGTTAAAAGGCAGTTCCTGCGGAGAAATGCATATTCCTCATCTAATCACATCTGAGAGTTGTATGGAGCATAGCAGAGTCAACCGAAGATTGCCGGTTGCCAATTAAGTTTTTTTTTTTTGCAGAAAACCTGAAAATTATAAATAGATATAAACTTCTTTTATAAGTTGAAAATTATTTTGCCTTATGAAACAGGCTGTCAATCCACATTTCTGTATACAACGAATTCCATTTCAAAGAAGAATCTGCGATGACTTTAAGTCTTATTTGAATATCGTATCCCCTACAACCTGAAGTACCGAGACCTTTCCGCGCTTTTTAGCTCTGCTGGTCAGAGACCAGGAGAGCCTATGCGAGAGTAAGGTGTCCGTCTGTCTGTAAACAAGTTATAGCTTATCTACCTGAGCTAAAATCTCAAGTGAACTTTTCTGATCACATTTTGTCCGGAGTCTGTCTATCTCTCTGTCCGTCCAGTCTGTAAACTTAGCATTTTCGACTTCCTCCCGATTTCAACCAAACTTTGCTAAAAAGCATTCTTGAGTAAAGAGGATTCAAGTTTATTCAAGTGAAGGCCTCTTTCAAGGGGAGATCGTTCCTAGAATAAGTGAATAAGAATAAGTGAAAATTAATGTCATCTTTCAAAAATCTTCTTCTCAAGAACCACTTGGCCAGAAAAGAATAAACTTATGTTTGTTTATTTGTTGTGTAAGGTCCCTCTCGAGAATTTTTAATTCATATGGAGACGCCATCACATGCCAGTTGCGGGTTGCAAATTTAGACCTATTCTCGGCACTGAGGGCCATTGAGCAGTGAGGGATTTTTTCGTGCCAGCACCTACTGTGACATGGGACCTCGGTTTATTCGGTCTCATCCGAAGGACCGGTTTCCTAGTTTTCCACTGGGATTCGAACCCGCGCCGTAAGGATTAACTCGCGAGGATTACACCGCGACTCTAGAGAAAACGCTCTAACCACTGCGCCCCGCGGGCAACATATGTGAAAACTTTCATAGAGTAGATTCAACTTTGTTCAAATCATGCCCCCCCCCACCCCCCACCCCCGGAGGTAGGGTAGGGTCATATTGGGCATATTTTTTACATATGAATAAATAGGAAAAAGATCTTTTACAATTTTCTTCTCAAGAATAACAAAGCCATGATTAGTCAAACATATATGGAAGCATCCTCTGTCTGAATCTTGAATAAACAGTGTTTATTATTATTCAAAGCTTATATAATTATTTGAAATTAAGATGTTTATTTTAATTCAGAAAACACGTATGTACAATATTTTGTGAATATTTACTGACAGTTTATGATAAAAATGTATACAATCAGAAAACAAGACATGAAAAACATTCATTGATATTTTAATATATGGTAAAGGTTTGGGCCAGGCAGGAAACTTCCACTTAATACTTAACTTAATACTCGTTCATATTACAATGTCATGAAAACAAACTGTACTGTACAAACATCATCTGGATCTTTGGTGTACATATATAGGCACTGGTAGGTATTACAGATCCTGGTACAGATTAGAACTGCATGGCGTTTTTCATGACGTGCGCCATCATCTTAAATAAATCAGACCATGCTTCCTCCAATTCAGTGTTCCATTGATCTTGCAGCGCCGGCTGCATGGCCCAAATAAACTGCGGACCGATTAACTATTGCAAAAAAAGAAAAGAGACAGAAGTTATGACAAATGAATAAATCATACTAGAAACCATATGCATTATATAAATAGAAACCATATGCATTATATAAATATTTAATTATGGATTATTAATACGAGTTTATTTAGTCATGATCTCTTGTGAAGATCCCCGAACATATGGATAGCAGAAAGGTACGGGCAGGAAAAATATGTATAAGTGGAATAACTGTACTAATTTTTAAAGTCTATTCTGATCAATATGAATGGCCAGTATTTGATATTTATATGGACCATGTTATGCGCGAACACATTTTTTTTATTGAATGTTCAAAAGACGCTTTTCCAATTTTTTTTTTTTTTTTTTACAAAAATACTTGGTCGCGATATCTGCACACGCTGATCCCGGAATTCTTGGGGGCGGGGGAGGGGGGGGGGGGCAACAACTCAAACAAATATCAGACTCGTAAATATTTTGAATGAAAAACGTAAGCAAATTGCCCAAACCTGAAGGTCAGGGAAACTTACAATGAATACCTTTTTTGGGAGGGGGGGGGGGGGTTAGGATAATCCACTTTCCCAAGTCAATTTTCTTCATTTTACATGGATTTTGCGTTTCCTAGAGGAATGGGGGACCAAGGTTATTATTATTTTTATTTACTTTACATAGAAATTCAATAAATCTGAACATCCCTGGGGGGAGACCGGACCCCCTACCCTCTGAGTCTTTGCCTGTAATTCTATTTAACATTTTAGTGTATATAACATGGGCCATCGTATGTACAATGTATATACTAGTTCTCAGAAAAAAATCATGAATAAATCACATTCTATTGATAACTGTTAATTAGATATGAAGTAATGTATAATAATGGTTTCTGTATGATTTATTTCTGTGCCAAGTACATGTATATAACTTGATGTAAGATTTTCCCCTATCGTTCCGTTTTCCGTTCCGCTTTTTAGCAACACCAGTTTTTTTTTTTTTTGCAAATATTCAAACATAATAGTAATATATTTTTGCCTGTATTATTCAGAAAACAAAATTCAAATATATTAATTGTAAGACCTATGATCAAGGTAACAGTTGGGTTGAAAATATCGTCAAACCCAAATCTCAGACCACAACAGAGAATTGCCCGACACTTCAAACGATATTTGGTCTTGCATATATAGTAGGGCTGGGCAATAATATCGATATTTCGGTATATTGCGATTCGTTAACAAAAAGTATCGTATTGCGATACGTTTTTCCAGTACCGATATACCGGCAAAATGATTGGGCTTTAGATTTATGAAGTAAAATATGAAATTTAAGATGTCAGAAATCGTGCCAAACAGTACCAAAAGGTAAATGATCTGTTGTATGGGTGCATTTCGTTGTCAAACTGTAGTGAAATCAACTAGAACTTTTTTGTTACAACGTATTTATAAAAGTTTTATACAATCTGCTTATAAATGGTGGTTATTAAAATAAGAAAAGAGCATTTTAACTGTTATTAAAAATATTGCAATAAATATCGCAATACAGTTTCAAAAATTGCAATATATTGCAATACGAAATTTTCAATCAATTTTGATTTAGTGTCTTTTTAAGAGATCAAGGTCAGATAACACAGAGCGCAAGCTTGTCTATGTACCAAATTTACTTATTTAAAGCACTAGTATCATAATTCTGTCTGTCTGCATGTCTGTTCGTTTGTCACACCTCATATCTCGAAAACTGTAAGATAAAAATTTGATATTTTACACATATATTGCTTGGCACTGTGACTTTTGTAAAATACTATGGTTACCAATTTTGAAACCCTTGAACTTGACCTACGACCTACTTTTCAAAATGGTTCGTAGTACAAATATATAGCATATTTTTAACAGTTAACAACACCTGACAAACTTTGATTATTTAAGTTAAGAGGCATTTCGACAATTTAGCAGTATCCAGGAATATGATCTTCTTCAACATATATCTGGGTAACATAAATATTCATTGACGTGCACTAAACGTGGCTTTCACAAGGAATATCAACATAATTTTAACTCCATTTTGTATTTAAGATCCTAAAGGCACCATGCACGACCTTTATCATTAAGGCGTCTGTTTAATATTACAAATATAAAAATTACTGAAACCACGCAAAACGTTGTATTTCAAGAGAATGCAAGTTGCGAACCATAATGATTTTGCTGTTGACATTTATTCTTGTTTAACTTTTACATCATAAAAATTAATTCATCCTTTGATATTTTGATTAAGAAATTAATACATGTGCTATATAAGGTAGTTTTGTCCCATTAGAAACAATTTTAAATATTGAAGTGCACCGTTAGTTGGTACATGATACAACAGTCTAGAATTGTATTCATATCTATGTATTCGTATATATGTATTCGTAGTCAAAAGTCACAAACTGTGATCGGGTCATTTTTCTTCAGTCAGAGTTCAGACAGAATTTTCAAGTCGGCGAGCAGAGTTTTGACGCGGTTTACAGAGATAAAAAGAAAATAAAGATAACCATGCCATATAGAATGGAAATAAACATTTTCCCAGTGCATTTTCTCTGAAAGTGTTAATGACTGCGATTCTGGAGAGAGGAATACTCCATGTAATTCGGAGTTAGATATTTTATTACACTATGGGTTAAAAAATTATTACAGAAACAAGTGCATGTGTTATCGCGTCAAATCTTAGACGTTTAATATAGGTAGTGACTTCGTTCAAGCGCCCGGCACGAGAAGTGAAAGTCAGTCTTGGCTCACACTCTACACGATATGATCTGGACATGATTTGACTTGTTATAGAATTAGAATTTCAAAACTAGGTCAAGGTGACTTACTTTTTGGCAATAACATATTTTTGTGTCGCCTGTAGAGCAGAGCTACACTTAGGGATCACTTTACCCGGCTTCTGTCTGTCCGTCTGTCACACCTGAGTACATACCTCTAATTATGTTTAGAATCGGTAGGAGAAGAAAGTAGTGCAGAAAAAATTACAAGTTCCTTAATTTGCAGACCTGAATTAAAAAAAATGTGATAAGGTATTAAACTGAGCCTCAGACTTGTTGATAAGGAGTATGTTCCCTTGCAAAAAAGCTTGGCAGATGTAATTTAACAAGAAGATCAGCAGAATTATTTTATGTATTATAACACCAGTGAGAAGTCTTGAAATCCCCTACTTTCACTTTCATTTTCAGAGGTTAACGCAGCAGAGGCATTTTGCCGGAAAACGAATCTGACATGCCACCTCGAGATTTTAACCAAGGAAAGACAACTTGATGTGCTTTGATTTGAGGGGTCACTCAATGCTGAACGAAAATTAGGGACATTCCTATGTGAAGAAACGTTAACATTGCCGCCTATGGGAAAACAATTAGTGGGTTGTACCCACCTTATATCTCAAAAACTGTAAAACCCCAGTCACATTTCCAAAAACGACCAACGACCAAAATTAGGATTCTTCGGGCGACAGTCGATATTTCATTGGCCGTTGTCTTGACCAATTTTGTGTCCGCTTGAACAGTTTTGTGTGCGTCGGGATAAGTTATAATTTTTTCTGCGTCGGTGGTCGATTCCCTCAATTGAAGCAGTCGTTGAGTAGTCCGTCAACCAACCTTCGATCATCGTCCGAATATCGGCAGACAGTTTGTTAAGTCGGTCGTCGGTCGGTCGATATTTAGTAGGGCTGGGACGATACAACATTTTCTATATCGATACGTATAATAATATTTGAGCCACGATATTTTGAATTAGTTATACATTTTTTTTTTTGTTTTGAAACGAACAAAACATTTTTTCACAAATAAGAATGATTTATTCAAAGAAGTTGTATATCTGTTGTAAAACAACATAAATTTTTACACAAATGATATTTATTATTATGTATTTCATATTCATATTTATATTTAACATATTTATATTTTTTATATTTAACCAAAAATGTAAGGTAACAAAGAAAAAAACATGTCAGATTTTTTGGGCGATATTTCCATATTTCTTCATACGTATCGATATGCATATCATCTCACATTGAATCGATATCTCAATATATCGTCCCAGCCCTAATATTTAGGAATTTTTTTTTTTTGCAAATGTCGGCCGACAGTGAAAATCAAACTGCGGCTCAGCGAACGATGATCGGGCGACGGTTGGCCGACTTATAAATATTTTAACCTTTATAAGGGCATCAATGTTCCTAGGAATTAATGTGACTACTCTGCTTCGCCCGATACTAGTGTCGTCCGATCACGTTTTTTTTTTTTCAGCCGACGATACGAGAAAATATGGTCGCCCGACCATCGGCTTAAATGACCTAGTTATATGAGGTTTGATTTTTTGCACATATATTGCCTGGCACTACGGCTTTTGTAAAATACCAAGGTTACCGACCTTAGCAATGCTAAAAAATTCCAAAATGATGCCACCATGACGTATTTGTCTCTGGCTCACATTTTGCAAGAGATGATCCTGATGTCTTGACTATGTTTCGTAATAAATTTCAAAATGAGGCTACCAATAACTCATTTTGGATTCAGACACATCTTCATTCCAAGATTCATCAACTGACAAGCTTTGATGGTGTAAGGCCTCGAAGTAGCACGCTGGACATGAAAAAAACTAACATACGGACGGAAAGGAAACTCCATACTATCATATGACTGGTTATTGACAGGCATATAAAACTGTTTAAAATTCCTAGAGTAAAAATATCTTACTATATTCCTTTTAAAAATAATAAAAAAAAATTTAATTTAATGTAAATTAGAAAGTTATAAGCTGAATTAAATTTTAGTCTTAGTCGTAAGTTCTTTTTGTAAAACGGGCCCCAGATCCATTTGCTTGACCATGAAAGGATCCAGGAGTTCTTACTGTCAAACATATGTAAACAAAGCAGATTTTTAACTTTTCAGGTCAACTTTTTGCAGATTTTGCACCTTAACTTACAACTAGATGACCGTTCACGGTAGCTCAGTCGGTAGAGCGCTTGCTCCGTGATCGGGAGGTCGTGAGTTCGAA